TTGTGTTTGCCTCTTACATCTTTGAAACACACTTCTGTTCCTCCCCCCNACTGTTTATTAACCCTTTAAGCGTCAATGCCTGTCTATAGCCTTCGCCTGATACACCCCACCAAAACTCATCACATCGGCGGCGTCGGTCTGCGGCTGTAAGACACGCTCGAATGCTTTTGGGTACACCTTTTCGACAAAAATAATAATTCGGCATTAAATGACTAAATATGCACCGTAATTTTATGAAGAAATTGGATCACACAAATTCTATCCGTTGAAAATTTAAGGGACAGAAGCAGACTGTATGCGATTAACTCGCTCTCTCTAAAAACGGCCAAATGATTGAATGCGAGGTGTGCGATAGACTTACCTCCACGTAGTGCACCCTGGACAACGTATACTCATACGGCAAAAAGTCTATTAACCGGCAGTTGACTTCTGACTTCAAACTACCCCCACTGTATGTCATATTCGATCACTTTCCCAGTACTCATCTTACCTTTTCTCTGCTCTTTTGTCGGTCTCTGTCAAATCTGTGAATCATTATTCTGTCCCCCCTCTCGACTTTTTGTCCCTTTGATGTTCCTCCTTCTCTCTGTGAAGCCTGGAAGTCAGCTAAATGACTAATGATAACTATCAAAACGCCTGCCATTTGAAATAAATAAATGATTAAATGCCCACAACAAAAACGAATGCGTTACCACACCAGGCAAATATCCGCTGAATTTGTTGTCGGGACAGCAGTTTTTTTCAGACATAGGTGACCTAAATTTATGACAGGTTGTAAATTTTTACCATTTCAAGATATAAAATATGCGAGGTATAAGGAGAATGCTAAAGTTTGTGTATCTGTGGTAGGGAAGGGGGCATTAAATCGAATCTACCACACATCATAGGAGCAACACATTGATAGAAGTTAAATTTTTAATCCGGAATTTTGATTAAATTCTCTCAACCCCTAGCAACGGTATCACTGTCGAGTGGACAAGCAATGCCAACTTTTTCTGCAATGCCACTTATCAGTTTCCTTGCTCACATTGACATCTTGTTCAATTGCAATTCTCTTTTAAAAGATTTTTTTGCAATAGCAACCGTATATAGTTTTCATAAGTGAAATTCTTGAATCGTCTGGACCAAATTACTCAACCGCTTGTGTTCGAATACGATTATCCATACTAACACAGCGCACTCACTTGCAAATGAAGGGCGAATCGACGGACATGAGGATCTGTTTTTCGGAGTGAACGTGATCCTGTTGTTTGGTCTCGACAATGTGAACCTTCTTCATCCTCTTCAAAGCAAACGCGATGCTGTGGTCATTGTATGGCCTTACCTAAAAAGCAGATTGAAAAAAATGCATTCCGCTATTTGGAGTAAACTAATAGCTCTTTATCTTAAGGTGGCCTCTTTTGACAAGGACATTGTTCATTGTTATTCTAAGTTGCCTATGCATTGCTTCTAGCTGTTCCACCTACGAATCAGTACTATCCCCTACCCACACATTTCAGCCCAGTAGAAACAGTTTTTCTGCTCTGATAATTGAAGCACCTAGTACACATAGAGAAGATCCAGGACATATTTTCAAGAATAGCATTTAGTCGCTGCTTTTCCAGATGGGTTAAAGGTGTTCACGAGTACTGTGGTTGCTCCAACAAGCTAAACCTCACTTATTCAATTGATACAAGTGATAACAAGGAGAAAAACTTGGTTCGGTACGGTCTTCTAAATGAGGTGAGATTCTGATCGTTGCCCGATTCCTCCTCAACGCTGTAAAAACAATTTTGGATAAACTGGAGAAATGCAACAGACTACGGGGGGGAGGGGGTTGGTGAAATGAATAGACAAAAAACAACAAAAATCGATCTGATCTGAGTGGGTTCACACTGCAGATTTAACCCAGAATGCGTTAGAGAAAAGTGCTTTGTTGCTATAATTAATTGAATGTTTCACCTTCTGCCAAGGACTTTACACTGAATGAAGATCTTTGCTACTGTCAGGGTTTTCCGAAAGTCCGCCCATGAACGCTTATTCGGCCGGGAGGTTTATTTGGTTCCAAAAGGGGTTTCATGAAATGGAATTTCCCCTTTAATAGCCCTGGGCTTATTTTTCGGAAAATTTCGACATAACGTCACACAATCACCACAGAAGTCAACTACCAATGGAAAAGGCTCACAAAAACCATTGTCTGGAAAAATCCAATAAACTTTAAGCAAGTTGAAACGTCCTGCTAAAGAGCTCAAACAATCTGATTTCTTTTCCAAGAAGAATAACTCTTGCCAAGACTAAAAGCCCAACACGCACTCCGGCGCCACCAATTTAAAAGCATGACGATTCCCTTACCAATTCGACGCGTCCAAAACCGCCCTGACCAATAATAGCAACGCGTTCAATGTCGGACAATTTGAGGTCTGCGGCGGCATCGTATTCTTTGGTGTGAAGTTTACGGAGAGCGTCCAATTCGGCCGTCCTCTCACCAACGACGGCGGGCATGGACTCACGTTGACCCAGCAATTGATCCAACGAGGTGGGACCGGCTGATGTCAGGGTAACAGTGGGGTCATCTTCGTTGAGGTTAATTGGATGCACAACCCGCACTTGACCTCTGTAAGAACAAACGCGGAGGGATAGCAAAGCATGGGAGAGAAGAGGTGTGTGAGAGTGAGAGTATTTCAGATCCCCATTAAAATAAAATTATTAAATATGTCATATAGTGACCACGACTATAGCCATGACAATAGTAAAAGTCAAGGAACGGAAGGTTTAGACATGCGCAATTCTGAATGTGAGATTTTGTTCCACAAGTAAGGGGGTCAAAACAAGGTACTTATGACAATATCGATATCACGTAGCAATCACATCCAAGGTCAATGCTTATATCCCATACTCAAGAATCCCTCCTTTTCCCATAACTATTAACTCAATAATTACGTTCCTTGTGTATACTTACCGATTGTACTTCTGAAATTTGTCCTTAAATTAATTCATTTTAAATTGCATCATAGGGAGAACTTATAAATGGAGAAAATCACTAACCCGTGAGATTGCAGATGTTCCAGATCGACATATTCCTTGTGCTCAAGATCTGCAATGTTGCCCATGAGCTCCAAGAAGTCCCTGTATTAAAAAAAAGAGAGTTTAATTTTAAGACTGGAAAGTCGGAGAGGGAGAGAGAGAGAGCAGAGTTGTTAAAGATCAAAGATTAGGCGACCTACTTCCTATACAGACAGAGAAGTTCTACGCCTTCAGGAGAAGCGGCATAGATATTGGCAGTACGTCTGCCCTCTCCCAAAAGGGCCTTTTCACCAAAGTACTCGCCTTTAGCCATCCTTCGGATGTCAATTTCCTTCTGAACATCATCTTGACCCGTTACCTTCATGGTCACTCGAACCTAGGAGGGGATAAGAAGGGATGGATTTGAGTCATTCACATTGACGTATACCGATGAGTGATTTCGAGAGAGTTAAAGAGATGTAGAGAAGATCAAATCTGACGGTTGGATGGAATACAACTTTTTAAGGCCAAAAATGTGGCTAATAGACGAACGGTTTGAGAAGCCATTCCACTTATAATTTGTTTAAGGGTTGAGGATTTTTGAATAGACATAGACTGTGCCATCAGTTTATGTGACATATTTAATTTACACTGTGAAAATACCCATTCAGTGAATTTTTAAGGAGAGAATCTCATTAACCTAATCTACTCTAAATTTCCTCTAGCATTTCCTCAAAAATTTACCCAATTAGGTTAGAGTCGTGACATTGAACTCAACCATTAATTATTTGTCCTTAACTTTAAACAGGACCCACATTAACTAACTTCGCGTGTTATTAGGGTGGTTGCAGAACAGGAGAACTTAGTCCCCATAAGAAAGGGAAAATACGGTAATAGGCGATTGAATAGAAAGCGTTGGTGGCTAAATGCAGACTTCAATAAATTTTGTAAACATAATTATAATTTTACCTTTTTTCATCCACAGTTCATTCATACTCTCATCCGACAACAATAGGTTAATTAATAATATTACATTTTCAAGATTAATATAAATTCGGATACCTAACTTAATAAAACAAGCAGTTTTTTTGGTACATTTCCCCTCAGTTTGAGCACATGCAATCGACCATGATGATAAACCAGTAAGCAGCTGGGGTTACAGTAGTTTCTGTTCCCTCCCCCCTCTCCCATAAGCTCATGATGGCATAGATGCGATAACAACTGCCCATGCAGGGATCTATAGAGCGAGAGGAGGGAAGGCGAAAAATATGGCGCATCCAAATATCTGAGTCGATCAGTATTAGCCCACATGACCGCATTAACCCAATAGCTTAAAACTTTATTTACGCGTAAACGTGCACATATGGGAGCAGATTTTTTTGACGCATTATTTCATCAGAAAGCAGTGAATGGTCAGACACACAGCAGCAAGAACCGATCTACCTACACCTACACATCGATTGATTATCTTCGCTCCAACAAGCCTGCAAGAGTTGGAGGAAGAGGAGAGAGAACATCTATACCACTTCCTTGGTCCACGAGGAACGCCTGACTACCCCTGGTTAGCTTGGCACGATAGTGTAAAGTGATAATACGAGCTCTGCTAAGGTAATGGAAAATATTCTATTCCCCCATTTGTCGTACGCGTAGCTTTTTATATTGCGATTAAAATGCAATAGAACAGGAGTTGGCCATGTAGCAGATTAAAAGTGCATACAAAATGAGATAAGG